CACGTGTGTTCGAATCGTGTGTCTCGGAACGCCGCGAAAGGAGGAATCGGACCTCCAGCGCACGCTGTTGCGCGAACAATATTCTTTTCCTTCAACTTCAACTCAACGCAACTCAACGCAACGCAACGCAACGCAACGCTGCCTTTCTTCGCAACTGGCGACGCGTAGATTCAAACTTTGCATATAAAAAAATTTTTTTTTTTTTTTAAAGCGCCTTACCACTTTTCACCACAGCAGCACCTGAGATCCGTATCAACGAACGAATGAAAAGTGCAATATTTCGACATCTTGTTCTTCCCTTTCCTCATTTCCGCTAATCATCAGTCGGGTTGTACCCCGATGTTGTACAACGATAAGAATGTTGTTTCGAACGTGTTACACATTTGAAAAGATTCGCGCGCGCGCAATAGAGCATCCCGCTCAATCGTATCCGCATTCAATCGAGAGACATGTGTGTGGGCACGCGACGCTGATTACTAATCAGGATAACAAACGTGCGCGTGTCTACGTAATAGAAATATCTATTCGGTCAGTAGCCACACACACGCGCGCGCGTAAGAGGGAGAGGGAGGGAGGGAGGGAGGGAGGGAGGGAGAGAGAGAGAGAGAGACCTGTACCAACCAACGTGACTATAATAAACGATCGCTTCCTTTTTGCACGATGCCGTCGCGCCGTTTCGTGCTCGCTTCGAAGCGACGAGGCACTTCCGTCGATCACGCCACGTTTCACACAGGGTGTAAAAAATAATTTCAAGACTTCACATCACACCTTTTGCGTAATAAGCAACGCGCGCGCGCGATTCAATCGTGTCTGCGTGAAAAGTTGCGATCGAAAGATCGTCAGGATGGAATAAATCCTCCTCCCGTGTTTGTTAATTGAACTCTGTCTTGGTGCCAAACGCACGCACGTACGCACGCACGCACGCACGCACGCACGCACGCACGCGCGTGCGGGATAGGACCTGCACTTCACGGCCCGTTCCCATCGGTGCCAAGGTTGCGCACCGCACGTCGTACATTAGCCGGGGGGCCTCGAGAGCTCTCTCGCTCGCGTGATGCTTACTCTCTATTCGGGCTTATCACGACGCCCGTATCGTTGCGCGAGCAACACGTATATACGAACACAATGTGGAAACGCGCGACGGCGGGGGCGGGGGTCTAGGCTTGAGCAAACGCAGTCGCCGCATTTACACACACAGAGGGAGGGAGGGAGGGATAAATGAGTGCAATTCCCTGTGAGAATCGCACCTATCATCCGGCGGTAAAGTAAGGTTGCCTTTAACGCGCGAAATCAGCCGCGGCCGTGCTGGCGGGAGACTCGAGCTGGTAGACAGTATCCGTCTGAAAATATCCGTTTTGTCACTTTGTAAAAAATGATTAGGTTGTAGAAAAAGTGTCACAACACAAATAGCATCTATGTGACCGTACGCGCGATTTAATCGGCTACGAATTATCGGCGGCGTCCATGAGCGCGCGGCGCGGCACGATACTCGTGTTATCAGAGTGTCGGATGTTCATTAACATAATATAATATTCGCGCTGCATTATTAACATATACATATGCGAATTAACGTACGCACACGTCTGTGCCATGAATATCACGTGAACGGAACTATGCGCCATTATCCTAATGTTTAATTATTATGAATCAAAGTGACTGTATGTCGTATCGCACGTCGTATGGCGGGCGATGACGATCCACCTCGCGCGCAAACGTGCGAATAACGTGCATATTTTTTATTTGTACATCCCGACCGACCGCACATTATATATTCTTGGAATAATATGCACTGAGATTATCAGCGGCATAGCGGTAAAGTGACATGCAGAGGCGATAAACGACGCGAGACGGCGCGATAACGGCGATACATCGCGGCGTCTTATCGATAATTCATCGACGGGCCTGCAGCCGTGCAGCGTGGCTGCATTTGATTCCAGTCGACAAACCGATCGCAGAGTTGCGCGCGTGACTGTCGTCAGCCTCATGATCGATCGCGATCAAGTCCGTGACCATGAATTCCTTGTCTCCCGCCGTCTGGGACTTGGGGATTATCTCTCGTTTGCATACTACCCAATATTATCCAATTCACTCGAATCTCGAACGCGCGCCGCCGCCGCCGCCGCCGCCGCCGCCGCCACCGCACATACCCGTGCAATACTCGCTCGCGGGAAAATAATAAAGCGAGCGATGCAAATGACTGGATTCTCGATAATATACATAGGATACGGGAAACGCGGCAGAATGCGGTTGTCACACTTGCCGAGACTTCCGCGCGCGATCGACGGACTATCGATCTATTTCTGGTGCGGATAGAGATCCCGATAGAAATCCCGATAGAGATCCCGATAGAGAGATAGAGAGAGATAGAGAGAGAGAGAGAGAGAGAGAGAGAGAGAGAGAGAGAGAGAGAGTGAGAGAGTGGCTGGTTATCAGAGTGCACGTTAGTAAAACTACAGCGCGATTTCGTCGCGGTATTGACTTGGTCAGTTCCCGATTCCGGCTGCTGCCTGGCGATATCAATTCTTTTTGAACATTGCTCGCGACTTTGATGATGTTGCGCGCGCGTGCGGCGCGTTCAATGTTTACATTTTTGCGAAAGGTTTCCGTCTTGTGGCAATTCCGATCTATATTGTACAGCGAGCGAGAGAGAGAGAGGGGGGGGGGTGGAGGAGTGGGGCGATGCAATAGGGACATGTGCGATAAGACTTGAAAACGCTCGTAAATTGTGTCCAGGGGCGTTGATAACGAGGCGCATTCGCGTGACCTTCTCTCTACGTTCGCGGCGGTGTGTTCGCGCTTAAAACCCGCACTGAGGCCGCTTTTAAAGTCGACTGATAATGAGCTCGCTGTTCCCTGGCTGGCTGGCTGGCTGGCTGGCTGGCTGGCTGGCTGACTGGCTGAACTCGCTAGCTAGCTCGCTCGTCACCGCCGCTGCCGCTGCCGCCGCCGCCGCCAATTACGCCATTCACGTCTCAATAGCCGACCTTCACCCCGTGCATTTAGCATCTACATACGATGCATGTACGCGACCGTCGCGCTGTGCGCGCGTATCGGTCGCTTACAGGACGGCCTATCGCAAACTGGGTGACTCATTTGGTTCGCGCATGTCGCGACGACTACAACGACCACGCTAAACAAGAGAGCGCGATAGTAATTTGAGGGCGACGCGATACACACACACACACACACACACACACACACACACGATACATCGCAATCCGGCGCCATCGCGATAAACAATGCCCAATTACTTCTTACTTTTTCCGCGATATTAATTCTCGCTCTGTACGGAACGATTTCTTCGGAACGGTATATTTTCCGAAAATTGCGTACCATTCGTATTCTCGTTTTGGAATACGCGAGAGGCGCGAGGTAACGTTACACCACATTGCCTCTTGCAAGTTCTCATCGTCGGAGAATTCGTCTGTTCTGTTTGCGAAACAGCGAACAACGACAAGCGAACGCAACTGATCTCATTGGTTCCTCGACGCTATCGCTATTGGCCGTTGCGGTTAATCGTCGTGAACGTCGTAACGGATTCGTTAGAGTATAACACCAAACCTTGAGAATCTAATGCTAATCGATCGTCTATAGTTGTGGTACCACACTAATTCACAGGCGTTCTTGCTAGCGAGCAATAATAATTAGCCGCCGTTAATTAGCACGGACACAAAGAAGACACTGCGCCTCTGTGTCTTCCTCCTTTCGATTCGACGCAGTCCTTATTAAGAGGCTCGTTACTACGGCCGAAACAGCATTAGCCCGCTTTCTTCATCGTCAGAAATATATTGTTCTGTTCTGTTGGTAGCGCGCGTGCGCGCGAGACGAAAATCGTGCGTCGCGAGTCGTTGGTGCGTTAATAGTGTGCCGCTAATGAAATGCGGTATCATTTTTATTAATCGAAACGCTCGCGTGCGCGAGCGGTGACCTCGCGCGCTCGCGCGCCGCGCCACCCCACCCCACCCCACCACACCTTGAATTGCTTGCGTGCGCGCGTCAATGATCTTATTATGTCTCAGTGATCTCATCGATATTACATTACGTAGCTAATAAGTAGCTAATAAGTAGCTTCGTCGTTCGTTCAAGGACAACCAAGGACTCCATGCACACTCCTCACGCATAAGGATGTATATAGGATTCGCGCTAATTACTTTCTAGTGTTCGCGCGAGCACAGTTCTCTCTCTCTCTCTCTCTCTCTCTCTCTCTCTCTCTCTCTCTCTCTCTCTCTCTCTCTGCTGCATATCTGCAAAAATGCCCTCCTCGAAACGCGTGTTTCGCCAAAGGTGATGAGCCATGACGACTATTCGTCCGTCCTCGATTTCGGAGTCGACATGACTCATTAATTAACTGACCATTATTATAGACGGAGAAAATGAGCGATAAAATAAAATAGGTATACAGTACAACGGCGACTCGTTGTAAATTCTTATTTTATGCGTCTCGAGATGCATCGCATCGAATGTATCGCGAAGGATATTTCGAGACGCGATAACGCGCGAGGTGTCACCGTTGAGGTGACGAGCTGTGCGTACGTGCGCGCATGCGTACCAGAGTCTCTCTTCCCAGGCGGAGAAAAAAAAACGCGTCCCAGTCGCGTCAGTCAGCGCAATACACAATTCATTTCAGGATCATCACATTCGTGGTGTTTGTGTACATATTTTTATACTCTCTCTCTCTCTCTCTCTCTCTCTCTCGTTCGCATGTATCGTGAATATCGTGATGATTTCAATAAAACTGACCCTCTTTCCTGTCCGTTGAATCGGAAATCTCGGTCTTGAGAGACGGCTCATCGAACGAATCGCGCGCGCGCGCGCGCGCGCGAGCGTCTCTCACGAGAACGAAAGTCGAGGTTCGGAGGTTCGCGAACAATAGTTCACGGGAGCCACGGGACAATTCGATGGGAAAATTTCATCGAGACGGGTTTGCAACTGACGGCCTCGGCGACTGACAAAGGCGCAATTACAAATACATGTGATAAATACGTAGGATGAATACGTACAGGTGTTGCTGCGCGCCCAATGCTGGGCCTGAGTCCCCTGGATGATGGCCGTCACCGACATCATCGGTTTCTCCTTCTTCATCATCTTGCCTGGCTTGCCCGTTCTACTTTCACTCGTCACCGTGAACCGATTTATTCGACGACTCTCTCCAGTTATTTCTTCCCCCTCGCCCGACGAAGACACCCCGCGCGCGGACACACACACACGCGCGCGCGTGCGCACATGCACCGACCACCCGTTGTAATTACTTTTTTCCCCTCTCCCGCCCCTGCTGCTGCTGCTGCTGCTGCTGCTCCTGCTGCTGCTGCTCCTGCTGCTGCTGCTGCTGCTGCTTCTACTCGTCGCGCTACGCGTTTTCTTTTTCTCAGGCGGAACCCACGCTCCGTCTTCGTCGCGCCGTCATTTCGCGCGCGAGAGTCCTCCACAACCACCCTCTCCTCCTCCTCCTCCTCCTCCTCCTCCTCCTCCTCCTCCTCCTCCTCCTCCTCCTCCTCCTCCTCCTCCTCCTCTTCCTCGTCCTTGTCCACCTGAGCCGCCCGGGAGCTGCTCAGGAGCTGCTTACAACTTCTTCTTTTGGTAATCGATTTGGTATAGTTAGTCACACTTTTGCACTTCTTTGGTACGTTTGTGATCCGCGAGCGCGACCGGTTATTTGACTGTTCTATAGAAAGGTAGAAAAGAAGAATGTGCTGTATAATATTTCAGGAGAGGGAAGAAAGAATGACGGATGACGGATGACGGATGACGGCGACGCGATGGGACGACGATTCGATCTTGAAAGCCCTGCGCGCGCGCTACACCGAGGAATTGCACGAATTGCACGGAATTTCGACCTTGACGAATCCCATGACTTGTCTAGCCGACAAGTGGTAGCTTGCGCTAACACAAACTACAGGGCTTTCTCTCGCGAAAGCAAAGGGCTCGCGGCGGCAAGGCGCGGTTGGCACAATGAATTTAGCCGTTCAATCACGTTCTCCCAATCATGTTGCAGTCGATCAATGAAAGTCGCGCACGCGGTTATTAGACGCAGATTCAACTAAATTGAAGTTTTCTTATACATCCCCGTGACGTCGCAATGGCAACAAGAATTGTGAAGAAGGGATTGTCTGTCGTGAGAATCTGTGGCGCGGATTGGTAAAGGCGATCTCTGATAAAGGCGGCGGATGACTTTGGGCTTCGCGTTCTTTCGGATACAATAAAACAGGAGAATCCCTGGTGGATATTCGAGGAACATTACGTCTCAAGTGTCAGGCCAGGCATGACGGGTGCAATTAGTCACGCAGGTGTAGGCAGTGTTTTAATTTTTACCGTGGCCCGGATTGCAACACCGAGTCGCGCGCCGCGTACTGTCTCGTCTCGTTCTGTTCGCCCCTCTGTCTGTCTCTCTCTCTCTCTCTCTCTCTCTCTCTCGCTCGCGCGCGCGCGCGCGAGCGCGTTAGTGTGATTGGATTGGATTTCATTTCATTTCATTTCATTGATATTTCATTGTGATATGCGCACCTCGACTTGTCACAATCGCGTGCGAAAGCTGAGCCGATGACTGTGCATCTACCAAAAGTAGCGAGAATGCAATGCGCAGTAAGGAAGCGCACCTACTCGTAGCACTCGCGCGATATGTATTGCCTACTCAGAGTATGGCAAAAGACGGAACAAACGAATATAATCTCTCTCTCTCTCTCTCTCTCTCTCTCTCTCTCTCTCTCTCTCTCTCTCTCTCTCTCTGTCTGTGTGTGTGTGTAATCACAAAACTGCGCCAACCGAATCGAGAAGCGGGGACACGAGACGTGACGTGTGGGGGGCACGTGCGTGTATGAATTCTCACGGGCGCGCGCGCGCGTAAACTGCGCGTAGCCCGATGCCACAGACGGCGGCCGTATTTTACGCAGGCGCTTTTTGCGCGGTTTAGGAGAAAGGAGAGGACCTCGTCGTCATCGTCGTCGCGAGGTCACCGCCGGTCGAAGCCACTCGACCCCACCTACCCCCAGGGGGTTTCGCACGGGGAATGCGCGGGGGAGGAGATCGTCTCGCGACGGAATCCACCAATCTCTCGCGCGGCGGGTTATCGAGAGCAGACGCTAAGACGGATTGTGTGGTGAGCCACCGCCGCTGCCGCCGTCGCCACCACCGCCACGGTTCAGTCTGCTCGCTCCACAAAAAAGAGAGAGAGAGAGAGAGAGAGAGAGAGAAAGAGAAAGAGAGAGAGAGAGAGGGAGGGAGAGGGGGGAGGGAAAGATGAGAAAAAGAAGAGTCCCATCCGCGTTCGAGAAATTGACCAAAGTTGACACGCAGCACGCATGTCGTCGTGACTTTCCCGACGAGATTCGTCGTTATTGCTCGCGCATAATCGTGGATAATTTCAATTGATTTCGCAGACAAACTGTCACGAAACGCGAAAGAGGAAAGCGGATTGGACTCTGACTCGACACAAGCTGCATGGCGAACACATAAACGCGCTCCGACTGACTCGTAGGTTGATGAGACTCAAATAATCTCGCTATCGCGAGACGCGGACAACGGGATGTCAGAGTAATCGAACGAGAATGGTTGATCTACTCGGGCTGAGGTCCTGCCGCTCAAAGTTTATCATATAAAGCGGCGTATCTCTCTCTCTCTCTCTCTCTCTCTCTCTCTCTCTCTCTCTCTCTCTCTCTCTCTCTCTCTCTCTCTCTCTCTCTCTCTCTCTCTCTCTCTCTCTCTCTCTCTCTCTCTCTCTCTCCCTCCCTCCCTCCCTCCCTCCCTCCCTCCCTCCCTCCCTCCCTCCCTCCCTCCCTCCCTCCCTCCTTCCCTCTGGCAAACTCTGTCGTTCCAGACAGCAAAAAAAGCGCTTCGTCTTGGAAACAGACAGAAAGAAAGAAGACTCGAGAAATCGTCGACTTTTATGCAGCTTCTCGCGTAGATCGCCGTTGCGGTCTGGAAATAGATGTCCTCTCTCTCTCTCTCTCTCTCTCTCTCTCTCTCTCTCTCTCTCTCTCTCTCTCTCTCTCTCTCTCTCTCTCCTCATTCTCGCGCGACGACGATTCGCACGCATGCGTCCGCGACCTTGACCGCACACGCATGTAGAAAATGCGATTGCCTCGTCTCGCGCCGCCATCGACACGCGCATTCGTTCTCTCTCGGGCGGACAGATCGAGAAGGATAGAGAGTTTGAGACGCACTTATGTAACGCACGACGGTCATTTACCCGAAATGCATGCGCGCGAATTCGAAGCCGAAGCCGAAGCCGAAGCCGAATCCATCCGAACGAACACCCCGATAAAGGTCAGAGATTGATTGATGACAAAGAGTCCGAAAAGAATTTGCAAGTATATGCGCGCACTTTCAACTAAAACCTTACTAATTTTAGATACTTGCTTCGAGCTCCTCGTCCTCGACGAAGCTCAAGTCGTGCCGCGCGACATCGCGCATCATCCGGTTACTCCGGTCTTTGGCGTGCGAGCGCGCACACGCGACATTTCGCGACCGTCGGGACTGAATCGTCGCGATTCAGAAGAAAGCAGGTGGCTCATGGTATTCAACCAACACAATTTTCTCTCTCATCCTTCCCTCCCTCCCTCCCTCCCTAGTTGGATTTATTCTCGACGATTCTCGAGAGTTTACTCACGAATTAATCTCTCTCCGCGCGGAGCGATCCTCGCGCGTGTTTGTTCATTCTTTGTCTGTTGTTCGATCTTTCGTCGATCTCTCGTCGATTTTCCGTGTCGTGATCGTGATCGTGGTAGAGAGGTTAGATCGCGCGCGCGCGACAATCGAGGCTGATGCCTCGAGGTTATGGTTCAAGGTTAACGTCAAGAAGACCTGGTGGTCTGTTCCTGGTCCACGCTATAGCGAAAGGCAGAGAGATCGATATGTACCGGGTGGCGAATTCGCGAACCCGAGCTGCGCGACTCGAAGCGACTGACGCTCGGATCAAACAACAACACGGAATCGTACGTCTCGATGAGACATTTCCTACCTACCTACCTACCTACAAACACCTATATTGCAACTCAAAATACAACATGTTTTACGACCTACGTGCGTCTTACGACGCACGGGTTCGGGTCGCGAAACAGCACAAACCGCGTCGCGTCTGAATATAACCGACTCTCTTTGGTCAAATTCGCGATGGCTGGGATTCAAGTTTGCGGATAAACTTCACAGAGAGACGTAACGAGGGGAGAAACTTACGACGCGACTTTTCTAACGCGCGTGCGCACTAGACATCACCAGACAACGTTTTCCAAGACGTGCAAAGTCATCCCTTCCGTGCGATGAGAGCGCGCGTGTGACTCTCTCTTGTCTTCCGAAACGAAACGAGATGTCGAATCAAATAATATACAACAAAACAGAGACATAGTCTACGAAAACTTCTCTCGTTTTCGCGTCATACCTTCGGTCGAAAAGTGACGCATTTATATGCGTTACCAATAGGAACGATATCACCTCGACTGACGTAATTAAAACGGCGGAGATGATCGATAATGTTATTACAGAGAATGTGCAAGCGGCGAGAGTGGGCCGTCTGTATATATCGTCCTGAGAGAGAGAGAGAGAGAGAGAGAGAGAGAGAGAGAGAGAAGCGATCGATCGGCACGTTAATTCTGCTATCCTGCACGGGTCAACGACAAAAATATGCCGTCGTTATATGGGGGAGGCGCTGCTGTATTTTATGCATGACGCGCGATAGCGACACAGTCTCTTTCACGCGCCGCCAATGTGATGCAGATTTGCTCGATTGAATCGCCCGTACACTGAATAGCGCGAAAGGATTTATGTCGCTAGAAGTCGCTGTCGGTATTACACGCGCGAATGTTCACTCTCACATACGACTGCGACTGCAATACGGTCTGGTAGAAGGAAAAAAAAGAAAAAAAAAAAAACCACAGAAATTGGATATTTTTCTATTGGAATTACACGTGTCAAAGTAGTATTTAGTTTGCAACGCACGTTTGCATGCACGTGTACACGCACGTTTGATCGGTCACTTTACAAAATCACAGGATAGCAACAACAACAATAGTGCCTCGTTCTCACTAGATATCAGCGGTTATCGACCCGCGAGTTATCCGAGAAAACCCAATATCGCCGCTAGACAGAATGACGGCTCCGTTCATTCACCGTTCAGGGGTCAGAGCTCGAGATTTTGACGACACGAATAGAGGCGGCGATAATCAATCTTGGATCGCGCGTCGCGTCGCGTCGCGTCGCGTCGCGTCGTGACGTCGCAAGTTTCTTTTTCAAAACTAGACCGATGACGTGATTATCGATTGCGCGATACCGTTCAATTTTCGTCGTTTCGCAAAAAAGAGAAAAAAATACTGTCAGCGCGTTTTTCGCTCGACCAGGATAGATTGCGACACGATGAGAGCCCTTTGAAACGAAACGCACACGCGACCGAGTGCCGTTGACCGAGTGAACCGTTGGTCATTGATCATCGCAATCGTTAATGTGCGAGA